ACAGGAAGAGAAGCCCCTACAACCATATTCTATCTATGGGGTTTGGAACTGCCGGTTTTGAGGAGTGAATTGTTTTTTGAAAATTCGTCCATTCTATCTACTCCAGGATGATTATATATACACACGATATGATATGTTACTTCTATCCACACTTGGACCAACCTTTGCTCAACATGACAGATGCAGATCATTCCAACCAACATGATATCATTGTTCCGGTTTATTGTCAACCACTTATTGTTTAGCTTCGATATGGTATCTCACGTCCATGCCCTCCTTTACTTGTCTTACTTCCTCATGTCAAGTTCTTTCTAGGCCTCCATGGGCTTCCAGCGCTGTGTTTGATCTCCTGTCACTAATGCGGTCGATGCCCTGTCATCCGAAACGGAGGGGTTGATCGATGAAAATTGCTCCGTAATTCAGATTTAAAGCACGATGGCAGGTGGTCTAGGCGGTCGCTGCTGCAATTTTGACACGTTCATTGAAACCTTCCATAGGCTGTAGATGGCTGTGGGCTGTCATAAACACTTGGTTTTCAGCAGTTTATCATTGGTGCTAGTTGATGGTTACAGATATACACTATGTTCCTGTTCATGACGTGTGAAGAGCTGATATATCAGCATCAGTAAATGTGTCATTGATCCACTCTAAGTCAGCTCACAGTCAAGATGAAATTCATAATGTGGACCTGTTTTGTGTGGGAGACCGTGACACCTACCAAGTAGGCTTCAATTTGCATCGAACAAATTGCTTCAGGAGTCTCGCGTTTAAAAGAAACTCTGCTGGTGCCTGTGCATATAAACCGTCGATAATTTAATCTGGAGTTTGTTGGATGCAAGCGACGGGTAGAGGCCGTTGCACATTGTGTACGGAATGATTACTGTATTATATAGATTGTAACATGTATAGGATGAATTCGATCTGGCCAGAAATTTCCACACTACAAATACAACCTTGATTCTACGCATACCAATAATGTCATCATCTCCATTTACTCGTACCAAATGCAAATGTCAAAGTTATTCTTGCTCACGCTATCAAAAGTGCTTGGAAGCCATGATGCAAGTCCAAGCAAGAAGAGGGAGTAACCCTTCCAAGTCTTGTATATGCACCCTGAGCATGTTGGACAAACTGCAAGTGTAGGGTATTCTCTGAATGCTATATAAGCAGTCTGGAGATTCGTCCTTTCACCTCAGAGCGTCCCTGACAAGGCAGCATGTAGTAGCATGTTTGTACTTGAAACTCTCAAAACCTGCGCAGGTTGTGGTCCTCTCTTTGTGGCACCACGCGACTTGGTGGGCTGGGAGTCCACAGACTGCGAAACTTCCCTCTTTGCCAAGTGACGCTGACAAGGAGCAACAAGGAGCAAGGAGAGTTCTTGTGCAGAACTACGTGTTGTGTTGTGCATAGTCTATATAGTTTTGGTCAGAAAAAGTTCGAGTTCTCTATATAGTCAAACAAGCAGTGCCCTTCAAGCTTCTTGGAGCATTGTAGAAGGCGACACAGGAAGCCTCAAGGAAGCCTATGACTGTCCAGTGGGTATTGTAGGTTGTAGATGACAAAGTTCTATAGCTTTGCACGGTCTTGCCTTAGCCTCGCAAAGAGGACCTTACCTTTCTTTTATTTTTGTTCTTCCTTTAGGACCTTTGGGACTTGACAGCTTTTTTGATTTGAATTGTCCATATTTCCTCTTTATTATCTGTGTCGTTTTATTGTTCTACAGAATTTCAAGTCGTTTTTGCTTAAATATACTGTAATTGAATTGAGAATTGCTAGTCGGTTGGAGGTTATCGCTATTTCATATTAAGCAATCAATTGACATTTCTATTTGGAAATCAATGAGCTTCGATCCTCCAAGGCCAAGCAGTTCACCACGAGGCTGATTGACTGACCATGGATTGGATATCTATGTCATGCTAATGATGGAGTGTACTGTATGTATTTTATGTGTTATTACATTACTACAGTATCTAATGTATGGATTCTTGTGTGCATGAATTCAATTCACTTCCTGGTGAGCCTGAGACCGAAATAGACTATAATAGACTCGGCTTGTTTGCTGTCTACTGAATTGCAAGAAGAATCTAATGTTGATTCATCGGTCTTGTTCCTAGTAGCTATTTGCTCCTAGTAGTAATGCCCTTGTTACTAGTAATAGCGATGCCCTTGTTCCTAGTAGCTATTTGCTCCTAGTAGTGGGTGTGAACTGTCTTGGGGCACTTCCGAGGGCACTTGGGCTTGTTAGCCCAATTGTAGTGCCAGGTCCAGCGCGATGACGTGCGCGAGGTCCCTCCTGCATGGGAGCAAGGGATAGTTGGGTCAAGTTGGGTCGTGGAGTTCATTTGAGCCATGCTCCAACTTAACAAATGAACTCCCGTAAGCTAAGGACATGTTGAGGTATGCAGGATTTTCTAGTATAGCTGGCAGGGATTGCGCACGTGAAGTCCCACTCCCAAGGAGCTCCCCGAAGAAGTGACAAGTGCGGAACACGACAGTTGTTGGCAGGTGAGTTTTGGATGGCCTGTGCGCAAAAAGGTAAATCCCTGGGCAAGGAAACCTATTTACTCGGATCGCTTCTTTAATACGTTGCCACCAAGGGTCAAGCATCAACAGTTCTTTTCCACTTTTGTGAATAGGTTCCGTATATAGATCTTCGTAGTCTTGTTGGCCCTTCTCCGAGTTGAGAATGCCCTTTGGGTTGGCTACTGTATGTCTTTCCAGGCCAGCCAGTCGAACTGGCTTTGAAACTTACCGTTCCGTGCTGCAGGCTGGCCGACGCAGCTTGTTGGGCGCGTTCATGCTGGCTGGCAGCGAGCCAGCTTGGGCTTGGTACCTGGTGATAAGCCATATTCTGGGCTGCCCTCGTCAGAAGAAGTTGCCTCCACTCCGACATGACTACACATCGACATGTTTCAGCCAGATGATAATTATATACTGTAAATGTTTCACGACTTCAACTGGAGCGTTAGCACCATCAAGCATTTTCAATCTTGTCTTCTCTCCAGCACCATCTCTGACCATTTTAGGCGCAAGCAGCGGCAGTGATGCCAGGACAGACCCTCTCAGGGCCGCAGGCAGGGGCGACGAACGCCAAAATGAAGCAGCTTACACTGGGGTGCCGAAAGTTGCGCTTCTTGACTTCAAAAACGGGACAAACCCTTTCCCCTTAGAATCCTACGTGCAACATGTCGACACCTAAGTTGCGGTCAGATTTCCACACCTGAAAGCCTTATAAGTATTATAGATTTTTTTATTCGGGTGTGGAAATCTGACCGTGCTGTACCTGCCAGGCAAAATGGACGTGTCAATCCGATCCGCTGTAGACCGCTGTAGGCCGCAAGTGTCAAGTTGGAACAGAGTAAGAAGCGTAAACTTTAGCGTTCTTGAAGTATTGATTCATTCTTGAACACGATTTAGTTCCCCACGCAATTTCCAGGGCTACTAGCTCTTGGCAATACTGCTAGTAGCAAGAATGTTACTAGTAACAAGGGCATTACTACTAGTAGCAAGAAGCTACTAGGGGCTCTTGGCCTTACTACTAGGAGCAAGAACGCTACTAGGGGCTCCTGGCATCGCTACTAGTAACAAGGGCATTACTACTAGTATGCAGTTGGGATTTCCGTTTGAATCCACAGTGAGCAGGTGGATGTCCCAGATCGCATCAACGCTGACCCCTACGAGCCGGCTGACTGTATCTGAAGACTTGGGGTCAGTGGACACACCCCTAATATATGTTCATGTTAAGTAAAGTACTGTATATCTGCGGCTACACACTTGACGCTGAAGAGAGAGATTCAACAACCACAGTTTCTCTCCAGCAGTTTCAGGCATATTCTGGCCTCTTGTCAATCGGACAACCATGTGTTAATATTCTTTACATTTATTTTGGCACTTGCTTCGGATGTTTGCCGCGAGTTCAAGACTTCAAGTTGAATTTTGCTGCATGGCAGAGCAATTGAGAGTGTACAAAACTTGTTGTACTCGTGTGGAATGATCATGCGAGTCTAACCAATGCTAACCTCTTGGGCATTGCTTTTGTAATGCATGTTCTATCGATTCCAGGTCTGAAGAAGCACTGTCTATGTGCTCCAAAACGGTTTAACATCTAGCTAAACAAGGATGCCCCCGCGCACGCGAGTTATACAAGTGTTTGCATGTCATTTCTGTCAGACATATGCCGAATGATCACCTTTCTCATGCAGACTCTGTTTCTGCAGCCCATGAGAGTCCATCGTAGAACACGCGCAGTTACTGTTCAGGGGTAGACATCCGGAGTCGTTCGCTGCAAAATGGTAGCAGAACCAACACCGATTGAACTGCAGTGGACGATGGTCCATACATGTGACAGCCATGGACAGTAGGATATGTAACCGGGCCTACGTTGCTGTGCACATTGCACATGCTTCAGCAATCCTGTAAAAAGTTGGCCAGGCAAACAAAGACACGGCCCAAACGTGGTGAAGAAAAGGACATATTGCATTGTTCTATTCTTAAATCTGAAATGCAACCTTACAAGTTGATGCTCCCCATATACAGTATCGATCAAGACCGTTCAAGCACCAACGCGTTGTGAGGGGCACAGTAATAGGCCCTAAAGGGCTTGATTTGTAGGCTCCAGGGATAGAGCCAGACCAGGGCCAAGTATCAACAAGCCCCACCCTGGGAGAAGCAACAAAAGTTATTGATGTCATAGGACATCACAGGATCATAAAATTCAGCAACCATCAAGCATATGAAGCTTGGAATTTGATGCCCAAGTATATAGATAATATAGATAAACAGGAGCCAGAGATCATCACATAGGTAGAAAGCGCGCAGGTAATTGAATTTGGCCGCTCAGCCTCTCAGTATGAACGAAACAAGGAATAGCTTTACCCAGTTCAAAGAGGCAGTTCCTGGCTCCTCGTTTTCAGTGTATATGTCGAGTCCTTGCCTCATTTGGATCGAGATAACATCCGAGACGTAACCTACAGCTGGGTGAACAACCCAGGCTGATTGGTATGGAGAATCCGGATGACAAGAAGGAGGACTTTGCTCGTCAATTCCTGGTGCCTGGTGACCTCGATCTACACCAACACTAGTCGCTTTAACTTGTTTTCCTTGTGCATCACCTTGGTTCCCCACCATGAGCCAAGCACACCAGGACTACAAGACCTTCTACATGAAGCAGAAGTATCGACAGGACACCTACCAGGTGCATCCAGCAGGGACACCTGCCTTTTCAGCATGGGTTTCTCCGTGAACAATGCACAGGGTGTTACCGGTGTTACCAAACTTCTGTACCTTGCTAAGCATTTGGAAGTTTGGAAGATTGTTGCTTGACTGCTTGACAACTTTGTGTGCAAACATGACTCAACCTTTCTATGGCATGATTTTGGTGAGTTGCTTGAGGCCTTACTCCGGCTCGGTGCTTGTTTGACAATTTGGTATCCCTTTCGAGCCGACAGCAACATGAGAAGATGAACACCTCTTTTGTTAACTTTCGCCACTCGTGCCTCGCATGACAGGTAATGAAGCACATGAAGATTTCTGCCTCCTTAGATAAAGGAACTCCAAATATGGAGAGGTGGCCGGGCACTTAGTGACTTAGTGCATTCGAGGCTAGTTTGGTTTCTGCCTTTGGCAGTTCCTCATTGAACTTGAGTTGTTTGGTGACGAACCTGTAAAATATTTTGCAGAATAGTTTGCAAGGTGTTGCTGATAGTCCTAGGAATAAAGGTGTGTAAACCATATGTAACCACACCAACCTTGGAGCATTTGCTGATTCTTTACCTTGACACCCGACCTGCTTGACTGAACGTTGTAGAGCACAAACTGGGCTCTCAGTCCTCAACAAACATGCAACATCCTGGAACAATAGCTTGCGGTTCAACAATGCAAGAAGTGACGGAGGTTCTGACAGGTGTGTGCATTCCAGCAAGAAATTCTTATTGTAAGGAATCATGATTCATGATTGCCAATTTCACGTATCTTCTGCCAGTTCATTGCGGGGTAGGGTAGGGTTGATTATTTAAATTAGTCAGACAATTCGTCACACTATGGTAATTATATAATTTGATTAGGCAATCAGGATTAATCAGGTATGTTGATCTCAGGCCTTTGCAGTATACCAATGATTAAGGATTGCATCATTGTTTTCTGGCAAGCAAAAGTTATCAGCGTGTTGCAATATCTGAGCCTCAAACTGCAGGAACACCCGGATCAAGAAGGAGATGAACGACTGGCTGGCCATCTACCGACGGCAGAACGTTTCAGTGGGTAGGCAGGCCTTTTGTGTGCTGGCTGTGCTACTTTTCTATGATTCACAAATTCACAGATATGGCACCAAATGAGCTTTTGAGGCATGTTGCCATGTAGCCTTGCATGTGCAACTGCATGTTTTTTGATTGTGTTTGCAACAATGTGCTTTGGACTTGGTCGGCAGGCAGAGCTACTACTCGCTCTACTCAGCCATCAATACGCTTGTCGGGCCCTTGAGATGCAGGAGTCCTGCGCAAGTTTAAGGCTCACTGCCACTGTTGCTCTAATGGGCAACATGTTGTAGAATGGATGGCTGTTTGGGCGATGAGAGCCATTGCATTCAATCCTAGTCCTGGTAGAATACAGATTCATGCAAGTTTTGATTTGGGGATGCAAGCTGCACGTGCTATATTTTGTCAGGTTAATTTGTTTTGCCCTCCTACTAAGACACTTTTTGCACTTCCTCGCATGTGTACAAGAAAGCCTTTCATTCCGAAAGGTTCACTTCGACGGTTGCTGACTCATGCATACGTTGGGTATATAGAGAAGAGCTGCAACGTGACTGAGGCATCTCACTTCACTTCCTATGGACCCAAGTTCCCGCCAGGATCTCATCCTGCTTTTCGGGGTTGTTTTTGTGACCGTTTGTGGTGAAATTTGTTCGCAGTCCAGTGTAGATCGCTGGCAGGTCCCTTAGCATTCCCTTTTTCCCATTAAGTTCAAGTACATGTCATGTATATATGTATTGTATTGTATTTGTGTATTATATAGACATTTGCAAGTGTGTCTTGCCATGCACTAGAGACAAAGCTGAGCACATACAGTAGGGATTGGGAACTAGTTGATCGTCCGGCCCTGCTTGCGTGCTTTCAGCACTTTTAAGCTCAAAGCCTGCATCCAGTGCTTTTTCACTTCCAGCTTTATGTAGATGCAGCCACAATGGAGAGTGTTGCAGAGTGTTGCGTTTGTTGCCTTTGAGGTTCCCCAACAAGCGGCGTCCGCGCTTCTTTGAGTTGTGCCAGCAGGTGGAGAAGTGCGCCGGAAGTAGAGCTGACCTCCAATCCTCAGCGCAACATGGATGCCCTTGTCATTTGTAGCGTCCTTGCTCCTAGTAGCGATGCCCTTTGTTCCTAGTAGCTTCTTGCTCCTAGTTGTCATTTATATATTAAGCAGTGAAGCGTTGATCTTTGGTGTACGGCCACTGTGTGTGTGTGCCTTTGGCATATTTACTCCAACAGATGTCCTATCCTGAACTTACTATGCATATCCTTCCCGGCAGATTGCTCTACATACAACCATGGGTTGTCCTACGGTGTCATTGAGTTGCTAACATCCAGCTTTCGAGCAATGCAGTATCAGTAGCCGGTAGCCGTTCAGCTCAAGCTACATACATACCAGATCCGATATCGAAACCCCTTCGTGATGCTTGGCAGAGAGTTCCAAACCTGGACTAGAAATTCTTGCCTAGGGCACAGAGCTTCTAAGATATTTGGCGGCTGCCAAAACGACAGTCAACGGTCAGGGACCTCTAATGTCGACCAAGGCGTTAATTTATTGCAGTAAGTGAGTTGTTACAAAAGGCTGCATTTGGGCTTCTTCAACCATCCAACTTTGGGTGCGCCTTTCTCCAAGCAGGTCTAAGTTAAGTACCATTGATTTGTTGATGAGTTGATGATTATCATATAATATCATGTTTGTTCTTGTTGATTTGCTTTGCGAAATTTGAGAACTTCTGAGGAGATGGCGATGCTGGTGATTGGAGCCAATACCTCCGGCTCTCAGGCGGAGATGAGCATTTTTTATTCACATTGTTTCGGATCACGACATGTTGCAGCGGCGACCTGGGCTGCAGACAACTGCATTGTTGAAAGCTAGAGCACCTATCACAGCTATCCCTCGCAGAGCTTTGCTCGTGTTGCTAGCCCTATATAGCACAGATTGCTATTTGCATTCCTAAAGAGAGACTGGCCCTTTCTCCATACATTTGTTTTAAACTTTAAATATATATGTAACCATATTAACCCCAGGTACTCACACTTATGTTGTATATTTTGTATGCATAATTACTAATACACATATGATTAACACATGTGTTTTGGTTGTTTCCTTGAATCACATTGAAGCAGACGCGAGTATGTTGATAGAGATCATGATAGTAAGTAAATAGGTTTGTAAAGCTTGCACATTTTTTTTGTCAACATTTCTGAAAACCGACAGAGGCTTGCGCATTGCCAGGACTTCGTGGTTTCCATGGCCCTTGTTGCCGTGGCATTGGGAATATGGCTTTTGGAGCGCGCAGGTGCGGGTACAAGTTAATCTCAAACTTGCGATTTCCCCCCTTGATGAATGGCCCAGGTTGCATGTCGATCGGTTCCGTTGCTTATTGCAAAACAGTAGGCACTTGTGCAGAGCTTCAGCGAGCTGAATGCCAGGATACGCTCAGTTGATCTCATGCGTCAGAGTCTTGAAGCGGTTGGCACCGGAGAATCTTGCCTCAAAGGGAAGATTTGCTTTGATTGATCCAAACACCATATCATCCACACATCATCAGCAACTTTGTTGCATAAACATTTTTCAAGCCAAAGCCTTAAAGCAGTATGGTTGATTTAGAGTGTGTGGTGTAATTATATGTACAGTGTATATATACACATACACTGTACATATAAGTTCTTGGCTGTACACACACAAGCATGACACAAACCTTGCCATATGAGACAAAGGCAAACATCAAAACGACTATCCAACTTTATTGACATTTACCATGGGGAATGGTCACTACTTTTAGAGTAGTTGAAAGTTGTGAAAGGACTTGGCTTTTCTTGTGGTTGGGCTTTCCGTCAAATAAAAGGTCTAGCGGCTAATGGCTAGGCTGACAGAGCTTGTTCTTGGCCTTTGGATGCGAGTGTGCCTTTGGGTTGTTTCTGCTATTGCAATCAGACCGCCCATTGCTTGTGTGGCCCAATTGCTTCTTAAAGGCTGTTGGCGCTGTCCTTCGGCCTCTCGTTGGCATCTGCTTTGGTTTACTGTGGACAGCACAATGGTGGCGCTGAGATCCCCAAGGAGGAGGGGCTGGGGTGATCGGCTCCAGCGAGTTCACAAGGTAGATCAGTTGGACGGCGTAATCTGGAAGAGAGAAGCATGTGGATACAGCCTGCACTATTTTTACAAGTGTTTCTTAGCGATCACATTCCAGTTTGCTAGATGTTAAACAGGCTGCAATGCATTGTTTGGCAATAGGCGTGCTGGACACAGTCATATCCAACAGTAACAGTCAATGCAGGATCAGGCTTTGTGGAGTGACATTAATGCAGAGAAGCTTGGCGGAGAGTAGACTAGACTACAGTAAGCACTGAGCACCTGTGTTGGATGTTTGTTTTTTGTTTTTGTTCCTTGTTCGTTTGTTCGATTGTTTGTTTGTTTGTGCGATTTATCTTTGCCGCAATCAACCTTTAAGTAGTAGGCTCTGGAAAGGCAAGTTTTGACATGGTAAGATCGATTGCTTGCCATTTGCCAGAACCCAGGTGGCCGGTGCTCAAAACAGCAGATAGCCTGCTTGGAATTCAGGCATGAAAGGGTTTTGCTCTTGCAGCACTTTGGAACGTTTGACTTTGAACAATGCTATTGGCAAGGGGCCTAGGAGGCTGTGAGTTGGTATGTAGCTGATAAGAGAAGCCACTGTACAGAACCATATATAATGAGTTGCGTGGCATGATTCCAGAGTCTGCGCGTAACCTATCTATCTATGAATGAAATTGCATTTGGCGGTTATAGGAAACAATATTTGGGCAGGGGCCGTTTTGCCTAAGTGATACTGACCAATGACACTTCTACAGTCTACATGGCAGGGCAACTTGAGAACAGATAAGAAAAGGCTGCATTCATGCTGCGATTGACACTCCGACCTGGATGTTTAGCTAAGCCCTCCGGCATCTTCCCTAGTGCTCGTCCAATACAGCCCTTGTGCCCCTGGGCCGTGAAACCTGGTGCGGTTTGCAATATCCGATCCGTGATCAACAACAACCTCACAGGAATATTGTGATCGTCAGAGAACTGCCCCTGAGCTTTAGTTGGTGGAAGCCAACATGCTGAGACAACTTTAATGGATTTGACACAAGAGGCAGCAGGGCGTACTGGGATTGTACAAGGTACTTGCGAGGAAAGCTGCCTCACGGCCAAGGATAGACGGAAGTTTCACAAAAAGATTAGCGTATATAAGAAAAGAGGAAAACACATGGTTTATAAGGGCCCTTACCTTCTTTCGTTTGTGTGGTGAAGTGGTGCGGTGTGGCGATGTGATTTGTAAAGATTTCTGCGATGCGAAAGCCCCTCCAAAAAACACCGATTTGAACCTAGAGTCACGCAGCTCAATGACATAGCGCCGGCAGAGATATATAGAGACAACCTGACACAGCCATTGCAATTGCTTTTGCAACAGTTATCAAGGTGTTTTGAACCTGTTGCATTCCTGAATGTAATGGCACTGGAAACCAGCAATCAGCACGCCATGAGGACCCAAGCCAATACTGCCACAAGCGCCTTCACTCGCCGTGCTTAGCAGACCTTAGCAGAATTTGTTGCTTGTTCCATGTTTTCCTTTTCGCGCGCGCTCACTTGATTCTCAACATATATATATATATATGTGGCATTGAAGCTTTCTTTGATGATTCGTTTTGAGTCCTGCGGTCTGATCATGTTCATGTTGTTGACGAGCAGGCCATGCTGCGCTTGGTACTTTTGAGCTCAGCCTTGCTTCGGAAGGGAGACGACGAGGCGTTCACACTGTCACTGACTGTCACTGTGACCCGTCGAAAGACCGAGACAAATTCAACAGGGTGTCCAATGTCCGGGCTGGTACCTATTTGGGATAATCCTGCCAATAAATTTTGCCTAGCTGACTGGCTGAGGTGGGACCAAGACATCACTTCAATTTACTGTACGTGCCAATTATAGGTGTCTTATGGTTTCTTGCAGAGAGAAACTGGCCAATCCCCACTCATCCTGGAATTCATAATACAACTTAACATTCGGCGTGGCTTGACTTGTTACTTTGCCACAGATCCCTCGGATGAATCGTTACCATTGTTTTTACACTCACCACGTGTACAAATTCTGCTCATGCTGTTTACAAATTCTTTTTGTCAACTTCGATTCGTCTGGGATTTCGTCCGTCTTCTGACAGGCCACCTCTGCCATGGCTATGGAGCCCATGGGCTTTCTCTTCCTTGCATCTTGCACCCGAGCCTCGGCGTTGAAAGCGTTTCGACTCAAGCAAGTCTAAAGTTAATTTGTTTCGTTTTTTGGGGGGTAGGCCAGAGGAAGTACTAGGCCGGCCTTTGAAGCAAGCCAAGTCGATAAAATTAACCTTCGACCAAGTCACAGAACCACCAGAAGATTCCCTGCATTCAGAATTCCAGCACTCGGTATAAGTCGTACAGTATCGACGAATCGACTCGCGGAAGTCGTATACGGGGTGCCTCCTTGTTTGTGTGTGTGTGACTCTTGGAATCAAAGGGAGTCTTTTGACGTTTTGGCAGGGAGGCAACACCATGGATGCAGTTGGTTGTCCAACGAAGAGGGCGGCATTCCATGGCTGATATGATCCTGGGACGCTGGGATCATGTCCCTGCAGTGATGACTTACAACTACCACTACAACTACCTACCTCTTGGACCCCGTTGCAACATGTGGTAACTATTGCAACTTGTAACTATATACTGTATAGATCTATATAGAGCACAGCCTTTGCGCCGGTTCTGAGTTCGGCAGTCAAGCATTTGGCAGTCACGCATCATTCTTGATTGGCATTTGGACCTTTTGGACCTCGTGGAGTCAAGCGGAACTTTGAGGCAATTGACATGTTGAAGCTTCTGAATGTAAGTGTCTTGAATTTGGAGGTGGCTGGACCCCACTGTACTATATCTCAAGTGTGTAAGAGTGAGTCGAATGTGGGATCATAATGTCATAATGACGACGTTCTCAGAATCCTTTCTAACTTTGTTGTGCGCTGCGTCTTAGATGCTTTTGGTGATCTGGGCTCAGCCCAGCAGTGACTGCTGCTGGTGCTGGTTTGCTGCTACTGCTACGGCTCTTGATGCTGCGAATTTCCTGCTGTTTTTTTGCTGACATGCTGTTGGTGCAGCTTCACAAAAACAGGTCTCGGCTAACCTGGGCACGTAACAATCTCGCCATGAACGTGGTTTCTTTCACCTTAGACTGATGTTCATGCAGCACTCAATGAATGGTGCTGTCCACTGGAATCTCCTAGCAGGATACAACGGTTTAGAAATTTATCTTTCATCACTGTGCCATTGGAATTGGGATAGGTTGGGTGCCACGTTGATTGAGTGTATCGTTGTACGCATTGCTTCGTTGACATTGATGATGATTATTGTTATTAACTATTATTATCAGTTTTATGATGATGATGATGATGATGATTTTGCTACTTTGCTGAAACACGCTGTGCCATTGCACATGATGTGACTTTTCCTTGCCTGATGCGACTTCAGCTCCATGTTTGTAGATCTCAACAGGATAAACACAAGACAAGGCATGGTAATGTGAGGTAAATCTTCAAAAGGTCCCTTACATGCATGCCAATTCGACTCAAGGTGCGATTTTGCTTCTTTGCAGCCCCTGGGAGGTGTACCACCTTGACTCTGGGCTGCACAGGGTGCAGAAATGGACCCGAATCCCTGCCCTTTCGTTTTTGTTAAGTCATTGGGTTTGACCATGACTCAGACAGACTTGAGAGGATTGGCTGCATACACTGTATGTTTGTTGCGTTGTTGTATATTGTTTTGCTTTATGGTGAAAGCATATTCGATTGAGTGTACTGCAGATATCGGCAGGTTGCTGATATCACCATATCAGTCAGACCCTTATGTTACAGAAGTGACGGACAAATCCAGTCAGACTCCAGCGAGCAAGGTTAAATGTTCAAACATGTCCGATGTTTCCTTCAAGAACCTGAGAATTCTGACGCAACAAGTGAAGGCTTCGCTCATAAACAATTTGCCCTAGCTTCGTAGAGAACTCTTTCTGACACAACTGCCCTACTTGCTTCTCCTTACCCTTTACGCCTGCAGGCATCTCCAGGCCCTTCGTATTCGTTTTGACGTTTTGCCCGGCATTTCATTTCTAAAGGACGGCCCTTTGGGTGGTGCCTTAAACTTGGCCTGTGAGATTTGTGCAGTGCCACTCACTGCTTGGCTTTGCAGGCACGGAAGAGAATGAACATGGCAAAAATGAATCAATCTGAGAACGCTGTGGTTTGGCAACATGATTCGTTGATTTTGGCATACTTTGCAATCTTGACCAAGAAGTCATGGCTACATTGCCAGGCCTTTGCGTCGTAATATTTATGGCGTAAGTTGCATCGCTATCATTTGGTTGGCCCTGGGCTTGCTGGCGTCACAGCAACATCTAGTTGCTTGGGTCAAGCTGCAAGCCGACAGTGATCAAAGTCAATGTCAGACCAGCTGTGCAGGTTCAGCTGTGAGAAGAAGTTGGATAAGTGCATGTGAACAAGTGGGTTTTTGACTAGTTGTTACTCCCACCGTTGTAAAGAGGTAAAGATAAGCACTACCAACAGCAACGTGTTTGCTGGGAGCATGTGGGATCATCGTCTCCACTCTAGATATGTATATATATATATGTGTAGTGTGTATCTGATTGTGTTTGCATGTATATATAATAACTATATATGTACATTTATCTATATTGAAGATTTATTTATCTACAGTACCGGGGCTGACTCCCCGGAGCAAGGCTTTGGCAGATCCTGGCCAAGAGTATTTGGATGTGCTCTTTTCTTGGAGCAAATTGGCACATTGAGATTGGTGGGCAGTATATATAGAGAAGCAGCAAAAGAGTCATAAAGGAGAACATGTGTATGCCATGAGCAAGTAATATCCTCAAACCAGTTACTTCAGAATTTTCTCAGAGAAGGGATTTGAAAGCGGAATGAAGCTTGTGTCAGTTCGCTGTTTCTCAGTTCAATGACCTGAACCAGTCAGAAAAAAATATCAGCAACTGAGCTTTTCAGCAAGCCTGCGTTTCTGTTTGATTCTGAATCTTGAGGTCAATTCCTTGACTTTGCTGCTGCATTGGCATTCCTCATTCGCACATGTACCTTGTGGACTTCTGCCCGTGGTGAATTTATGGTTGGCTTCTCAAAGAGGGTAAAAAGAAGGGGATATTTGCAAGTGATCAGCAGGGCAGCTCGACCAGTAGAGTGCATCAAACTGCTCTCCAAGACGAGACTTGAGATTTCCATTGCAACTGTTTGTATCTATTTGAGAACCAGATCACAACGTGCACGCAGTGGCCGTGAGATGAATTCTGACCGATGCACCTTTGGCTACTGCGTGCGACATCAGCACCCATTAGCATAATATGAAGCAAATCCTACTTGCTGGCTTGCACCCACTTGCACACCTCTAACAAGGTCTACAGCTTGATGGCTTTGCTATTCCAACAGCTTTTGAGCAACCTGGCTCAATGACACTCAAGTGGGTTTACGATCGACCATTGCTTGGTTACAGTGTTCTACTTGTTTCATTTGATTTCAAGTAAGTAGAATACTTATTTTCCCGTCATTGCTTGAACAGTTGGTGTTAAGGTGCTGTCTTCATG